GACCTGCCCTCCCACCTCTCTGGCCCAGGGAGCAGGTGGCTGGACATCTGTGCTCCAGAGTGCATTGTGTGGGTGCCATGAGCACCCCCTTGCCATGCCTCAGACCCATGCACTGGAGCACCTTCCTCAGACCTGCTTCTTAGCCCTTTTTGGCCACCGCAGCTGTGTATTGCACATGCCCACGGTTCTCTTTGGTGTTGGTAATTCCACCACTTTTGCAGTCTCTGCCATTGTTAGGGTTATTTAGAGTTCCTAATGTATTTTTAAAAAGTCCTTATTGTCCTTGGCTGGCCATAGATTTCCCCTTGTGGTCCTATGGTTCCCTTATCAATTCTCTACAATTCCTAGTTCTTGATTTATCCTCACCCTTTCTTCCCCTTCATTATATATTATGGCTTAATTCACTTCCTGCCTGTCTATCATGTCTCATTCACTGCCAAGATGCCAACTCCCACCTCCGACCAGCTGATGATGCCAACGTCCACCACCCGCTTGCTAGATTGTCAATCATCTTTGTGCTTTCTCATGTGTGGGACACGCTCCCTGCATGCCACCTGCTTAGCCTGCTTCCAGCTCTCTTCTGCCAGGGTCTTGGGAAACCCTGTGACCACAGCGGGACTGCTGGCTTAGCAGAGCACTGAGCACCACAGTTAGTGGCAGCTGGTCCCTGGCTAGGGAGGCTGGGCACTATGGGAACAAGAGCTGCGGGAGACACTGCTAGCCTCCCAAAGGGTGAGGTTCTCGGACCACATGAGCACTCTCCAACACGCAGAGCCAGGGTGCTGTGCTGCGCCCGATGACCTTGGCCCTCCAGGGCTCTACTGTTTCATGGGTCTCCCAGGACGCTGCTTCCAGCCCCTTGAGCCCCCAGGTCCTGCTCTAGCACATTGTGCCCCTTGGCATGGCCGCCTCGAGGGAGGGGCAGCCCCTTTGCAGGCCCAGGGCTGTGCAATGATATGAACCATGACTGAGGCCTGAAGCTTCCTGTTGGTGGCTGCTGGTGACCAGGGAGAAGAGCAGCCTGGAGCTGCCCAACAGCCCGTGCGGAGGCACAATGGCCACCTGCCGTGTGTCGCTCTGCTGGGACATTCTGGTCAAAATCCAGCCAAGCTTTGAGTCTGGGGCTTAGAGAATGTTCCCGTCAGGTAAGAAAGAAGCGCCTGAGGGCCCCTCTGGCCGGCCGGCACGCTGGCTTGCAGAGCCTGCACACAGCCAGGGCAGAAAAGGGCCCTTCCAAGCAGTCTGGTGCAGCACCCGTGGCAGATTCAGATGAGCACCTAGGCCACTGCCTTGCTGCCTGCTGGAGACGCTGCGTGCACGTAGGTCAGCCGCATTGCGGAGACCTCCGGGCAGGACTCCCTACTTGGCAGTCAGCAGCAGCTGTACTCACGATGGCTGGGTACGGCAGAGCCCCGCCCTTGATCTGCCAACAGCCAGTGGAGGGGCAGGGACAGGACGAAGGAAAGAAGTGGGAACACTGCCCCTTGCTGGACACCTGCTTCATGACCGCAGGACTGGGACATCCTGGGAGCAGTGTTCCCTCTAGTCATTTCTATTCATGTGCAGAATAAACTTTTCTATGTGCACTAAGATTTGGGCAAATGTGCACCACCAAGAGAAACAAAAAACCTAGCAGTGGGCACTCTGTTAATCAGCTGAGCAGCATTTGACTCTCCTGCGTGGCCACCCAAGTGCCCAGTTTATAGCCTGTGGCCCACGCAACCCCTGTCTGCCCACCGGGCCGCTGGCACCCCACATTTCCCTCCTGGCACTTTCAGAGCATGTGAATTGCCTGTGGCACGCTGGCCCTGCTCTCTCCCTTCCCTCCCAGCGCTGGAGTGCCACAAATCAGCTGTTCAAGCTCCGGAGGAGCAGGATGGAGCACAAATCAGAAGCCCTGGGAGAGAGGAGAGGCAGGAGGAGTGGGGCTCCAGTGCCCCAGTGTGTGAGAGGCACGTGGGGGAGGTAGGCAGGGGTCCGCAGGCTGCAGGTGGAACCCCAGTGGGCCACAGCTGCTGCAGCCTGCTGAGGTGAAGGAGGACCACTCATGTGGCCCACTCCCTAATCTTGGCTGCCTGTCACTGGCTTACAGGCAGTGTTCCCTGGGAGTGTCCTGTACACACATCCAGCGACACCGATTCACTGTTACTGGCTCTTCCATGGGCTGTGTCCCCTCACACCCGCTCCTATCGCATTCCACGCTCCCACCCGGCGAGCATGCCAGCCAGGAGTATTCAGGTGCCCAGGTTTCTGGATGGAGGTTCAGGCCATGGCATTGTGTTTTGAGAACAAACCCCAGCTCTGGACCCTGCCCTCTTGCTGCCAACAGCCCCCGGCAGAAGGTCTCCCAGGGTACATCTACACTGCAGGCTGACCGAGTTCAGCTACGTCCATAGCTGAAGTCAAAATAGCCTGACGACTTTCGGCACTGCCCACCCAGCAGGCAGGCGAAGGAAGCGCCCGCTCCCGCCCGCTCCC